ACATTATTATACATATAACATTATTAATTTTGTTTCGGTTAAATTGGAATTTGTAATGGACTTGTTTGCTTCTCTTTTTATTTTCTTATTATTATTTTGATTGATCATTTGCGCTACAACAACAACAACAACAACAACCGCTGGCAACAACAAACCATTTCATTGTACTGTTCATGCCAGTTGCTGTAAATTGCATTAAAATTGTATATACAAAGAAAACGCTTGAATAACAACCGAGTTTTAATTGGAGCTAACTGGAGAGAGAAACGATCGATATACATATATTTGTATCTATCTGTATATATATGAGTAAGAGCAGTCAGTTAGAAAAGTTCTTGAATAAAGCTGGCATTTCAGCCAACTCAACTTGGCTCAAGAATATATAAATATAATATATGCATATGCTATCAATATATGATTTCCCAATTATACTTTATATGGGGATCTCATAGCTCTACGATGTCTTTGATACCTTCCATTGCTGTCAGAAAATTGAATTTTACTCTTTAAAAAAATCGCTTGGAAATTTTGTTTTATTTTAGTTAATACTAAACAAGATGTAATTGTGTTTTATACGCGCGCAATTGTCAGACTAAACACAACTTAGTCAATTAGGTGGGTGGTAAAAAAAAAAAGTGGCTACATATTGAAGACATTTACTATGGTGATTTAGATTTAGGCTTTGCGCTTGGGCTTTTTGCTCTCCATGAGGCTGAGGATGGTCTTGCGTAGGTCCTCTGTCTCCTTTTGCTCCATTTCGAGATTCTCGATTTGTTCCTTCTTCTCCTGGAGCTGTGTCTCCAGCACGCTGACCAGATCCTCCGATTTCTTGCGTGCCTCACGCTGCTCCTCGAGCGCTTTTTGCGTCTTGGCCAGCTCCGTGGTGCGTTCGTCAATGGTGCGTAGCTTCTCCTTGATGTCCTGCTCGTAGGCAATCACGGACTTCTTTAGCTTTTCGATGCGGGAGCACTAACAGAGCAAGAGTTGTTAATATCATGGCTGACACTTGTTGTGATGCTTAATGCTTACATTATCTTTGCTGAGCGCTTCCAGTTTGGCGAGCTCCTCGCTTTTGGCAGCGAGATTGCGGCGCAGCTCCTCGCAGTCCTTTTGCAGGCCCGCAATCTCCGACTGCTTGACCGAAAGACGACGTTCGCTGGCCTGCAGATGCTCGGATGTTTCCGACCAACGTTTGAGCAAGTCGCTGAGATTTGTCTTCAGTTGCGCCGCCTGCGCTTTGAGATCCTTGCACTGAGTTTGCAAACTGCCAAAGATAAGAAGACAAAGTGAGATTAGCTGCAGCTAGAGCTGGAGTTGTTTGGGTGACGGTCCCTCACCGTTCCTGGCTGATGAGCAGCTCAAAGTTCTTGGTCTGAAAGCGTTCCAGCTCTGCATTTTGTGCATTTATTTGCTGCGTGCTGTTGCACAGCTGAACGCTGGCCTGCTCCAGACGCTGCTGCATGTTGTGGGTGGTGCAGTTGAGGCTGTCGATGCGATGATTGTACAACTCGATCACCTGCGACACAGGCGCCGACTGCAGCTCATTGCGACGCAACGTTTGGCCAATGGTGTCGATGAGTGTGCTCACGCGCTGCGCCAGCTCCCTGTCCATGAAGGTGCGATGGCTCTTCAGAATGGCGCTCAAATTGCGCCACTGCTCCGCTTGCTCGCTGCTGGCGGTGGGCGAGCCCTGGCCACTGCTGCCAATGCGGGATACATACTGTAAATCGAAAGGAATCAATTGGAAGGTTGAGAGATATAAGAGCAGGTGCATTTGACTTGAAGCTGGCCTACCTTGGCAACAGCTGCCTTGGGGAAGTGCTCGAATTGCGCTATCTGGAGCATGGCTGCCACGAGCTTCTCGTTGCCGCTGAGCATGGCACGAGCCAGAGCGTACTGGAGCTGCGGCTGCTCGAGCAGCGCACAGCACTTGTCCAAGTAGGCCTTCTTGGCAATGCTGGCAAAGTTGATCAACAGCAGCAGGCAATAGATGGCCTTCTCCACCTCGGATTGGGCCAGGGTCTGGCAGCTCAGCATTTGCGGGAGCAGCGCCATTGGCGCGGCCAGTATCTTATCGAAATAGGATTCAGATATTTTGGATAGCACCAGCTTCTCGGTCTTGGACTCGCACAGCAGCAAGAGCAGCAGCCGAAGTATGGCCGAGACATGGGCGGATTTTGTCTCGCTGCGCTCCGCCCTGGCCATCAGCTTGACCACATTGGCCGGCTCCTTGGCAATGAGCTGCACGATTGTGGCCCGTTTGTCCAGTTTCAGCAGCGAGCCGAGCAGCTCAATGGCCGCCACGCCGCACAGATCCGACTCGAGCCAGTCGCAAACCAGCTCGTAAATGCGCGGCGTGATGGCATCCAGGCTTATGATGCTATTGTCCTCGGACAGCTGCAGTACGTGGCTGATGAGCTGCATGAGTAGCTGCAGGCAGAGCTGCTGTTGCTTGCGCATATCCTCGTTCGAGTCGTCCAGCTGGCGTCGCGCCTCAATTTGCTACAGAGAAAGAGAGGGAGGGAGAGATTAGGTATCTATAACAGAGATCGGGATTCCAACTGACATTCAACAGCCGCTCAGTGTCCTCGCAGTAGTGCGAGTAGCTCAGCATTGCACGCTGCAATCCGGCATGGCACTGTGCGTCCAGCAGAAAGTCCACAATGTGGCGCAACTGTGGCACATGCCACTGCTTCAGGCAATCCTCGATGCCGGCAAAGGCAGTGCGCAGGAATGTATGCAATTCCCGCTGTTCCAGGGAGTGCACATCCTCGGACAGGATGATGAGCATTTTGTAGGCCAGCAGGCCATGGTTCTGTATGCGCTTGCTGAAGCTGGAGATGTTGACGCTGCGCAGAAAGAGAAAGAGCACCACAAAGTTCTTGTAGCAGAGATTCACGAGTATCGACAGGGCGAGCTGCGCCTGTGAATTGTCGACGTTTGTGGCGCTAGTGTCGCATTCCTCAACGTTGTGCAGCAGATCGACCAGATGCTCCAGCAGCACCACCAGATACGGCTCCTCCCATCCAATACGTATGCCATATGTGAGATCCTGCAACAGCAGCAGCAGGCGCTGCACGCGCTCAGGCCGCTCCGTTCGCTTCAGCAAGTAGCTCAGCAGCGGCACAAAGCAATAATTTTGCACGATAGCGAGACGAGCCTCCAAGTTCCTGCTGCAATGCTGCAGCAGGGAGACACAGCTCCACATGGCCTCGCAGTCCGCGTCTAGGGTGCTCATCAGTGCATGCAAATCGATGAAGAATTTGGCCAGCTCCAGTTGGCCAGGAGTTGGTGCAAAGCAATGCGGCTGCACTTTGGTGCCCAGCAAGGCGATGCTGCGCTGCAGATGCACCAGCGACTCCTCGGTCTTCAGTTGATGATACGCAGCCGCCTGGCTGCTAAAGTCACGCACGTAGCTAATCGCCTGCGCAAGCGCCGCCTCCTGTGCGGGCAGCACCGCGGACAGAATAGGCGAATCGCCATTCTGATTGTTGTTGTTATTATTACTGCGGCTGCTGCTGCTGCTAAGTGTGTCGACACCATCGTGACAGCGAAGCGGACTCATTTTACCGACTTTTATTCTGTTTGTTGTTTATTAATTTCACGCGAGCCTTTTTCTGTTTGACAGGAGTCTTTTTTCGAACGTTCTTTTCGCTTGGCGCTTGCTTTCTATCGATAGAACTAGTTCCTTTTAACAGATTGTTCAGCCAGTTTTTCAAATACCAAACGCATTTAGTATTTTATTATTCAACACGTTAAATTTGAAAAAAAAATTTGTAAATAAGCCACTAAGATTAACTAACAAAAGAAAAGTGAAAAAGATTAAAAATAAATATACATA